CCCCCATTTCGGCAGAAGATCGAGAGGGCGTGGCTATTTATTTATTTATTTATTTATTTATCTACGTGTTTTGTTTTAACCAGCCAGGTTTTTTTTTTAAAAAAAAACACTCCTTTTTAATCTTTCCTTTTAAATAAATAAATAAATAAATCCACCCTTCGCTGATCACTTATCGGAGTTTTCCCAAGGGGGGGCGGGGGATATTCTTAAATAAATCCAGTTGGAAACAAGCCAACTTTAGGATTTGCCTAGCTCCCCCTCCCCGGGAAAAAGGTGTTTTTTGTTTGTTTGGTAAGCTGGTTCTGGGGTCGTTTTAGCATCCTTTCGACCAAAAAAACAAAAACAAAACCCACACACACACACCAGACAAACACACGCTAAAACCCAACCCTTAACGTGGGACAATCGTGTGCGTCGATTCCCATGGACGCTGCTAAAAGGTAACTTTCTAAAGCACCCCTTCCCCCATTTTGACGAACTATTTCTGGGAGGGGGCCGGAGAGAGGGGTCTCTTTTGTAAGGCAATGATGGGACATGCCTTGATTATCTCTATCTGTCCATAAGTATTTATGCTTCCCAGCCGTCAAGATCTCGCCTGGTTTGAATGAAGGGCTTCTCTCCTACTAACCCCCAAAACTGGAAACTATCCCTGGGGGTGGGGGGGAGGAGGAGAGAGAGGCAGAGATCACAATCACTCCGGACCTTTTGTAGCCTGACCTCCAGCCATCTTTGATTTCCGACTTCCTAAAATAACTCCGGTGAGCTAATATGGTGTGTTAATGGGTGGGAAGAGGAGTTGAAGTTAATGATGGGTGCTTTCTTGCTCTTTCCTCCTCCTCCTCCTCTGCAGCCTGCTTAAATATAAAGACCAGGGGAACGGATGGGTGTTACCTTTCCAGATTTATGGATTCAGATCAGGCTCTGTATGTATGTGTGTGTTGAGGATCGGTTGTTCGGGGAAGACCGACTGAAGATGTAGGGCTTGCTCGCGTGGAAACGGGAGAGTTTTACATTCCTGGATGGTGCGAGAAGTTTTTCAACCCCATTCCAAAGCCCTTTGGAGCACCGGGCATTTGGCAATTAAATACTCCCTCATTCCAAGTTCCAGAAAAGTCGGATTTTATCCTGAAAAGGGAAATAGTATGAGATATTAGGGCTATCCGAATGAGTTGCATCGCCCTGTCTCTTAATATTCTTTCCACCACCCCCGCCAATAGATCCTGTATATCCCTGGCAGAGATTTGTTAAAAATGATATCCCTCCCGCATAAGGAAACCTTGAGGTGAAATCTTAAACTTTAGTCAGAAGATTCCCTCTTCCACCTCCTGGGATTTTTATTTTTTTTATTAACGGAGGTGGTGGGAAGTTGGGGTGGACTCGGATCAAGCGATCCCCGGATAAACTCCCGCCTTCCCAAAATTAATGGCAGGGGTCGATAACAATGTGTATTTGGGGCAAGAGGGGGGGGCGGATCGATTGGCGAGCCGCAGGAGGCTTGGAGGGCCCCCCTTCCCCCCCTTTTCTCTGCCTTCCTCCCATGGAGTCCGAATGGGCAATTGTCGAGCCCGATTAATGGTGATTTAAGAAAAACGGCAAGCTGGCCAGAAGGCAGTAAATCTCATGTTTAATGCATGGCTGTTTTTCCCCTTTGTGCATATGGTTAGATCGAAGGGAGAGCTGGCCGGGCGGGGCGGGTTGGAGGTGATGTTTCCACATGTAAATCTCTTTCCGCAGCTGGAGAACTACCTCTGGGGACAAAAGGGTTAATCACTCCCTCGGAGTTTCGTGCTCCGGGGAGGGGGAGGGGAAAGAGACGGGCATCGGAAAATTACTTAGATGTGCAGGCTTAGCGCTCATGCACTCGCTGCAGGCATCACCTGGATTCCAAATTTGGGCAATCAATTTTTTTTCCAAAAAAACAACAACCCACCCACAAAAAAACCCTGCAGGCATTTGTTAGAACCCTTCGGCGTTATCAGCGCAGCTCTTCAACGAGTAGAAGAAATAGGACCTGGAAAGAGAGAAAGCCCGGGATTCCAATATCTGTGATCAATCTAGTTAAGAAGCACCACGTTCTTTAAACCGCGCTGAATTGTTTGAAGGTAACTTCTCGTCTGTTACGGGACAGTTCAGTTGCTCCTTTGCGCCACCTAGGGGATGCTTCCTGCGTTGTTACACTATTGTTGCTGCACGGGAAAACGCATAGTACAGTATATGCTTCTTTCCTCTTAGTATCTGCAATTTGTTACATTTCTTTCTTTCTTATTCGTTGGACTTGGGTGAAATGGACGTAGGTGTTATGATGCCTACGCTCCCCGCATGCCTGCTGATGGCTCTCTGAATAAATCACTTCCATAGAAAATGTGCCTATATGTGTATTGTTAACACTTAAAACCCGAGTGAAGTTGTTCATTAAAACACTTACAAAAGACAAATTCTGGACTGAGCGAGGGATTGGCCTAAAAGATCTCCCAAGGTCCCTTTCAGCTCACTGGTTTGGATTCAGATGCACCAGATCCATAGAAAACAGTGGAAGTTAATTTAGTTAGATCGAACTTTTCCTGTGGATTTTAGCGGGACCACTTGTAAGCATGACCTCTGATTTTATTCTGCCTTTTCAATTACCAAAAGGGAAAGCTTAAGGTGAGTTGGTTGGCTGGCTAAAAGTCCTACGTGAGCTAATTTATAGACATAAAAATAGATGTATGAGAGGGGTAGCTGTTACTTTGGTTCTAGCAGAACTGATTACAAATTTAAACCTCCGATAAAGCCAACAAGACACTGCATCTTCTGATGCTGCACCCACCAAAAATTGTTTTTAAGATAGTTTCTTTTCCCTTTGGTCACAACTCTCTTACAACAACCCTGTGAAGTAGCATAAGAGGGTGTAGCTTTCTCAAAGATGCCAAATGAGATTTGGGTTTGTGTGCCTCTCATATGTGTAGCTTATATCGCCATAGGAACACAAAAGCATGAATGTAAGGACAATAAGTGTAATCAATAAGCATAGACCCTTTTATGCTTTCTTTACTATTGTGAGGTCAAAATTAATTAGCCTGAAAGTTCACTTTGTAAAGAATGGTGGAGGGGAAATAAATCCTGTTTTATGATGATAATATATTGGATAAATGGTGAAAAATGTTATTTTAAACAGTAATGTTTTTTCTGCATTGAAACCTTGAGAAGAAACACCAGGCATTAGTGCCCATACCATGCCCTTTTTAATTTAATGGGGAGTAGATTTATTGACAATGGAAATGAGGCATAATTAAATCATCTAGTTTGTATTTTGGTTCTCCGGGGAGGGGGAGGGGAAAGAGACGTATCCAGGGAATGAAATCTGGATAAAGGTGTTGCAATGGGATGTGTGTTTTGTAGGGGAATTGGTTTCTAACCTGGTGATGAACTAATAGAGCCCTCCTTCCAAAAAGAAAAAAGAGGTTCATGTGGAAGTAAAAAATTAACATTGCAGCTTAACATTTCCTCACTTCTGAAGAAATCAACCCTTCATTATATTTGGTAACAACTGTTAAGTCAAATTCTTTGTTCTTCTTGTGGTTTAAATGCTAAAACATGTAGAATTTAACACTCCCCCCCCAACTCACAACTGGAACACTGTCCTTGGGTTTTGTTGGCTGGTTGATTTTACTGTTAATTAATTAAACAGTAGCTAGAATTTCCCATGATTGCATCAGTAAAATGAGAAACATTATTAAATATTTGA